TTTTTTTTTTTTTTTTTTTTTTTTTTTTTTTTAGGTTTTTTCGAGACAGTGTTTCTCTGTGGCTTTGGAGCCTGTCCTGGAACTAGCTCTGTAGACCAGGCTGGTCTCGAACTCACAGAGATCTGCCTGCCTCTGCCTTCCGAGTGCTGGGATTAAAGGCGTGCGGCACCATCGCCGGCTCCTTATTGTTTTTTAAATTTTGATTTCTAACTTCAGAATGAAGTACAGCTTACATGGTTTCTTTCTGCTGTTAGGGCTGTTTGCGAGAATGACAAGGTACATCTGAATGACACAGTTTATCTGAAGAAGACACTGACTATGTATCCATCCCCGTTCAGGTAGGTATGACGGACTTTCTAGCAGGTCTCACTCCAGGGCCATCATGAAGGATGCAGAATTCTTCCCAAAGAGTTAGTGTCCCTTCATCCTGTCTAATTCCAGCTTATTCTTGGCTGACGATTAATTTAGGAGGTCATTTCCAAAAAAATAAAAAATTCTGTCTTTCTGGTACATAAATATAAAATTACTATAATAATGGAAAGGAATAAACCACTCTCTAAATTAACCAATGAAGAACTGCTTGATTATACAAATAAAACTAAGGCCAAGTAAAAAGTAAAACAAAGCTGGGCGGTGGTGGTGCATGCCTTTAATCCCAGCACACAGAGGCACAAGCAGCCTACAAGGCCTAGTTCCAGGACAGGCACCAAAGCTACGGAGAAACCTTGTCTCAAAATACCAAAACAGGGGCTAGAGTGATGGCTCAGTGGTTAAGAGCATTGCCTGCTCTTCCAAAGGTCCTGAGTTCAATTCCCGGCAACCACATGGTGGCTCACAACCATCTGTAATGAGGTCTGGTGCCCTCTGCAGGTATGGCCTGCAGACATACACACAGACAGAATATTGTATACATAACAAATAAATAAATATAAAAAAACCAAACAAACAAAGGATAAAACAAAACAAAAAGGCCAATATTGTAAGCTGGGTGTGGTAGCAATCCTAAGCACTCAAGAGGTGAAGGAAGGAGGACTGAGAATTCAAGGCCAGTGTAAGGTACCTTTGGAGGCCAGCCCCCCCCCCCCCCCCCACTGTCTTGCTGTATCTAGACTGGCAGAATGAAAGCAAAAGACCCTCTTCTGACATGTGTGATGGTGGTGACTGTGACTGCACGTCTGTGAGACGCTGCTCTCTGGAATCCCAGAGCACACAGCGTGGACAGAGGGGTGGCATGCTAGCACAGCTCATCCACTGAGCAGCTGCCTAATGGCACTGCATTCTGATGCCAATGAATTGCACACAGCTGTAAACTCTGCAAAGATGTTGGCAAGGGGACACATAGATAGCATTTCTTGATGAAAATAGCTCTGACAAGTAGAATGCGAACTATGTGCTCCCCTGGAGCACAAGGAAGTGTTTTTATACATGAGGAACAGCATGCAAGGACCAACAGGCCAGACAGTTCTGTACATCTTTGGCCTTAGGTTATATGAGGTAGAATCCAACCTGGCTTTAAGTCATGAACATAGTTCATATAAATTTCATTTAAAAAGATATTCTAATTATTTACTTTTTTTTTTTTTTTGAGGCAGAGTCTTTCTAAGTAAGCACAGAGGATCTCACAGGGTAGCCCAGGCTCGCTTTGATTGTGTGGCAATCACTCTGCCTCAGTTTCAGTATGCCAAGTGCTGGGATTATAGGTACCAACCACTGTGCCTCCCTTCAAAAGGAAAACATTTTGCTAGAGAAAGTGGGCTAGCTGGCATGGTGGTGCATGTCTTTAGTCCCAGTACTTGAGAGGCAGAAGCAGGTGGATCTCTGTGTATTCAAGGCTAGCCTCCCGTACATAGTGAGTTCCAGGACAGCCAGTGCTGCATAGTGAAACCCTGTC